ACACCCACACCCGCAGAAATAATTCTATTCGATTTGATTCGATTTAACAAAGTAATATTCAATCTGGATTCGATGCGATTCGGCTGAATCGAATCGAATTGTTCGCCTATTCGATTTGGTTTCAGTCTCTGGTATAGATGCAGACATGTCTGAGGAGAATTAATCTTTTAACTGAAATCGAGTTCTTATAAATGTATCAAAAAAGAGGAAGGTATAAGCAAAAAATTTGGCCAATTTGTATGTAATTGAACAGAAAATATCAACAACTCGGAATAATTACATACATAGAGAGAGAGAAATAGAATGATAATATCGAGAACATTTTTATTTTCGAAATTATTTAAAATCATTGTTTGAAGAAACAGTAGTATACGTAACTGCAATGCCATTTGATGTATAAAAATCTAGTAAACGGTTTTTATCTCCTGCAGTTGATGTAAACTGATTAAAAGCACATTTTTACACACCATAGTCAATGATAGTATTATTTGAAAAAATTCTTTGTGAGTTAACAAATTGAGATAAAAATGTGCAATGTAATTATAAATATAAATTCATGAGGAAAAAGTATGGAATCTTAGCAATTTAATCCTCTCGAACGTTAATCAAATAGTCATCGATAAATCTGAAAAGATATTATGGTACTTTATTTTATGATTTATTTCTGATAATGTTGTATTTACTTTACCTTGAGACGACAAATGAAGATAAAGTGCTGCTATTATTCATAGTAGACATGACGAAAAACGAAATCTATCAAGACGATATATAAGAGTCATACAACATTTTGAAAGTTAAATGATAAAGAATATCTATTAACTTTAAGAAAGGGCGATATTGAATTAAAAGATATCGATACAATATAAAGTAAGCGAAATTTTTTCCTTTCATATTAATAGTAAATTGATATCATAATCATTTAATATTTTCATTTATCTCTTACCTACTTTTGCTACGATATATATTATCGAACTCAGTCACTTTCTCGCATATTATTGTTCACTGATGCACTTTTGATGATTAAAATGGGATACTGTGGATTAAGTTTGTTTCTAAATAGAATCAAATAAAACTTTATTTGCTAGAAAGTAATTTTAGATACATTCGATTTCATTTATTTGGCTTTTAAATTCGTTTTAGTCGAGATTTATTTCATATTATTAGTTTATACCTATAGTAGATATTAAGCAATGTATTTTTTGGTCTTCTTTTATATATCAAATATCTATTACAAATAATTACATAAGTTGAATACACCATTGATATTCTACAATAGTAGGGTCTTCTATTCATAGTAATTATATTAACTTATTTCTATTTTTAGATTAATTGTAATGATAATTATTAGACTATACTTATTTGTCTCTTTGCAATTAATTTTATGTTTCTCAATCGATACTAAACCTAAGTTAACATTGGATGAATTTTTCGATTATACATATTTTCCATTAATAAGTTTGTCACCAACTGATAAACATTTACTTATTCATACAACTCGTCCATCATGGAATATCAGTTCTTTTGAACATGCCTTGTGGCTATATGATATTGAAAAACAGACAAGAAAATTGATTACTCACAATCTACATTCATCAATTAAACCAAAATGGTCACCCAATGGTAATTGGATTGCATTATCATTAAATAAATATCCATCCATAACTACGATAAATAATCATCAAAACAAACAACAACTGGAACAATATATTTATTTATATTCTGTCATATCAGACGAATTATTACCTATTCATCTTGGAACAGACATTCCATTAACTTTGACATGGTCAAATAATAATTCAATTTTTTACTTGGCTACAATGAATATATGGTCAACTGTTGAATATAATGATTTAGATAAAGATGAATGGTATGATGTTATTCAATATCGAAAAAATAAAGTATCTGAAAGTACAACAATCTATCGAATTGATCTGATTGAAAATAATCACACGCTAATTGTGAAAAGAAATTTTATTAATAATGTTTCTTTTCTAATTAGTGAAGTTTTATTTATTCCATTCGAAGAAAAATTAGTATATTCAACCATATCAAAAGATTTTGAAAATATGAATGCTTTTGAACTCTATTTGATTGATCTGAAAAATACATCATCATTAGTAAGATTGACAAATAATGAAATATTTGAACAAGATTTACAATTATCACCTGATGGTAAACAAATACTATTTATATCATGGCCTCTGGGTTCTACTAAAAAGAAATTAAATGATACACAAAATCGTCTTTATTCTGTAAATTTAGCAAATGGACAAATAGAACGTTTAGCAGAAAATTTCTTTGGTAGTATTATGGGATATGCAATGAAAAACAATGATAATGTTTACATACTTGGACAATTAGGAACAGAAGCACATATTTATACACACCAATTATCAACAAAAAATTTGATTTATCATAATGGATGGAATGGTACATATCGATCTATTGTATCATCATGTAATAATAGTAATTCAATTGCATTTGTTTATTCATCATTTGAAAAACCTATGGAAGTTTATTTTATTAATAATATTTATCAACTTCAATCATCACAAGCAATAACAAATTTTAATCAACTATTTACTCAACGAGATTTGCCACAAGCTAAAGTGTATCACTGGAAAAATGAAGATGATGAACAAATAATTGAAGGAATGTTATATTATCCACCTGGACAATTTCAATCAAAAAATCTACCACTTTTAGTTCTTATTCATGGTGGTCCGGCTGATACAAGCCTCAATCAATTTTTATCAAATGCCTTCTATTGGGCTATAATGGCTGCTTCAGAAGGTTGGCTAGTCTTAGAACCTAATTATCGAGGATCAGTAGGATATGGTGATCAATTTATAGCTGAAATACGTTACAAACCTTTATCTCGACCTGGAAAAGATATACTTTCAGGAGTTGATCAGTTAATCAAAGATGGAATTGCTGATCCACATCGACTTACTGTTGGTGGTTATAGTTATGGTGGTTCGTTAACAAACTGGCTGATTACACAAACTAAACGTTTTAATGCTGCCGTTTCCGGTGCTGGCATTGTTGATCATGCTTCTGCATGGGGTACGATGGATATACCAGCCTTTCATAAGTATTTCTTTGGAGGATTCCCATGGGAAGTTCCGTATATATATCAAAATGAGTCACCTATTTATCAATTAACCAAAATGCAAACGCCTACACATATCATCGCGGCTGAAAATGATATACGGATTCCTATTAGTCAAAGTTATATGTTGGAACGTGCACTTTATTATCGAGAAATACCAGTAAAACTTATTATTTTTCCAAATGAAGGACACATAATAGATTTTAATCCTTTACATGGTAAAATAAAAATTCGAGAAGAACTCAAATGGTTACAAAAATATGGTAATCAATCATCAAATTACAATGAATTATTTAATAACAATGAAAAACTAAAACTAAATTATGTTTTCGAAATATATATTTTATTGTTACCCTATATAATTATAAAAAGTATATGATTACCGGATAAGTTTGATATTTCGATAAATCTTCTTATAAAAGTTCTATATGATCATCAGAGGTTCAAACGGGCAATTAGGCCTGCTTGCTTGAGACAGATACAGACCAGAAAGGTCATTTGCCTACCATATTTTTTCTAAATTTTCAATACAAAACTTCGCTATTTAGGCAAAAGCGTAGATGTCAAAATATACAGTAGAATGTCTTTGTCTTCTTTGGGACCCTCTGATGCAATTTTTGAAAAGTGTAGTTTTCCAAATAAATTTAAGTTTAGCGAAGAGAAAAACAAACTTTAATGTTTTCTTTTCGTTGATCAGTAGTCATTGCAATCAAATATTCTAGCGCATTTATATCGTATAAAAATGAATATTGCTATCTCGATCAAAAGGAGAATGAACCTGCCAATCAGCAGTATGTTTGTTGCTATGGCAAAGTAATTAGATCTTCACAAGAGGATCGGCGAGACTACCATTCCATCTTAACTCGGCAAAAATTTTAAATTTTGATTTTTCTTTGCTATTCGATAGACCTTAATCTGAAAAGCTTATGATAAAAATGTTATAAATAAAAAACATGTTCAAACATTCCCTACAAAAATTGGTATTTTCTCAAAAAAAAAGTCGGAAGCCAGAAAGTTAAATATTATCATCTGCCATGTCAAGCAAAACTCGACTTGATCTGTTTCTATGATGAGATTCACCTATGTTTAAGTACTCTCGATCGACAATCGAATTGTTTTGACCTTAATCATTACCTTACTCATTATTGTCAAGGAGATCATTTCTAGGAAAATCAAGCTTATTATTTTGAATACAATCTTCAATGTCCAACTTTATCATCATTTTGGGCTATCATATTCATGCGAATATCGCTATTCATCAACAATCTAAAGTAATGAAAATCGCCATAGTACTAACGAGCATTGTTTTCATTTTTAATTTGATCAATAGTTTTCTCTCTCGTTTTAAACGTTTCAAGGAAACCAAGTACGTTATGTTGGTTGTGGTCGCTACCTTTGTACATGATTACTACCATATTAATTATAGTGAAGTTCTACTTTTTATTACTACATCGAATCGATTCACTCAAGAACCATTCATTTGGTTATGTCCAATGTTTATCATTTGACTTTTTATTTTGATGTCTATTGATAATTCATGATTGGTTTAGTGCTTGTGTTGCGATCGAAACACGTATTGAATGTTTTACAAAAGAGGTAAATTTAAAAAGTCAATAGTAAAGAATTGGTGAAATGAATCATTTTAATTGTCATTGTTATCGTTAGTAGTACTTATATTCATGATCCATTGTATCATCGTCTGATTGACTATGAAGAAGAGCATCGAATATAGTGTGTTTGTCAATATTCATCATCTATGTAAATATTATATTCAAATACTCTTAAAACAACTCTGATAACCGAGAGTTTTCATTTGAAAGGAAATTCAAGACTCATATAGGTGCATTTTAGTATTTCTTGAAATAAAAATTATCGGTTAAATAGGTGGAAAAAGAATTCGAAAGATAATGATCATTCAGGGGCATAATATTCGTTTAAGTACATTGATGCGTAACTATGAGAGTTCTACCATAATGAATCACTACACATACCTGCGATAGAATTGTTTATTTGTTGAACAAAACGATAATAAAATTTTGTTTTATGTTCAAGAAAATTAATACGATATGAATGATGATCAAAGCTGATTACTCGTTTTTAGCTTAAGTTTTTTCATAATCTGAAATTTTTTACAATGTAGATCCTAACAAACACATTGATCTATTCTTTGGATATTTATTGTTAAAATATTTTACTTCCAAAATCCTTTCAATCTATCATATGCATTTTCATGAGAAAAAGCAAGATTTGCCGTAAAAATACAAACTACAGAGTCACTTACATAGTCTAGATTAAAAGCAAAATAATACTAAATTTTGTTAGAAATAAGCGTTAAGAACGTTCATTCACATTCGTTGCCGTACTGAGCAATACAGCAAGATGCGTGTCCCCTCCATCTTGACTTTTAAACCAGAAACTCATATAATAATTACGTCCAGCGATTGTTTTTACTAACTGCGACAATTCTACTAAAGCCCAACTGTTGATTTTACATGCATAAGAGCCTGAATGTTGATCACTTGATATTACATTGCATGTTGAATCCTTTGTGACACATATACAGTACTTTTTCATACTACTGTTTTCGAAACCGCCATCTTTGATAAGCTCAACGTTGTCAAGTATATCGTAAACTGATATATCGTCTAGATATCCACGTGAATCTTTTCCAAAAGCAAATGTAATGACATCCCTGTTTGATATAGCTGTATAGTTGAATGGGTGTGGGTGGTGGGCGTGGGTGTGGGTGGGGTGTGGGCTGGGTGTGGGTGTGGGTGTGGGTGTGGGTGTGGGTGTGGGTGTGGGTGTGGGTGTGGGTGTGGGTGTGGGTGTGGGTGTGGGTGGCGGTTGCCAATGAGGGTGGGTGTGGGTGGGTGGGTGTGAACGAAGAAAACAGGTACACCCACCCCCACCCCCAGACCCACACACCCACACCCCACACCCACACCCACACCCCACACCCACACCCACACCCACACACC